AAAATTACTGGTTGCTCCGCCAGAGCTACGGTGCGTTCCGTGCTCTATCGTTGTATTACTTGCACGCGACACAACGCTCGCATTCCCGAGCAATTTATGGGCGAACTTCCCGACTTTCGTGTCAATCCAAATTCACGAGCCTTCGTACATACCGGTGTCGATTACGCGGGTCCGTTGCTTGTTCGCCTAGCCAAAGGCCGTGGCCATAAATCACAAAAGGCATATATCGCGGTATTCATTTGTATGACCACCAAAGCCTTACACTTAGAATTAGTTTCCGATTATTCAACGGCGTCATTTTTAGCTGCGTACCAACGCTTTCTCGCGCGCCTCGGAACTCCGACTTCAATGTATTCCGACAACGGTACCACGTTTCAAGGCGCTGATAAAGAAATGACTGCATCCTTCCAAGCCGCCACGCGAAACCCTGAATTTCAAAATTATTTAGCTACCGAGAGCGTGTCCTGGCACTTTTTACCTCCAGCGGCACCTCATTTCGGCGGTCTTTGGGAGGCTGCAGTCCGCAGTGTCAAGCACCACCTTAAACGTTCGATCGGCACTCACACGCTTACATTTGAAGAATTAAGTACGCTGTTGTGTCGAATCGAATTGTTCCTCAATTCCCGACCGATTGCCTCTGTCACCGATTCGATCGATGATTATTGCGCGCTAACCCCGGGTCATTTTCTGATCGGCTCCACCTTAATCGCCGCTCCAGAACCAAGCGTCCTCGAATTGGCGGAGCAACGATTGTCTCGTTGACAACTCGTTCAACAAATTAGCGAACGCGTCTGGAAGGCGTGGAAGGATACGTATCTCCACACCTTGCAACAACGCCCGAAATGGCGATCCGTTCAAAATTTAGCTACCCAAGGTCGCATGGTCTTGATTCGCGATCCCTTGGCGCCCCCAAGTCGTTGGAAGCTTGGGCGAATTGTACAATGCCATCCAGGCAGCGATAATCTGACTCGCGTTGTTACCATCAAAACCGCCGATTCCGAATACAAGCGCCCGATTGCGAAAATCTGTTTTCTTCCGGTCGACATCAATCTCGATCAAGAACAGTCTGCCATGGCGGGCGGCGACAAATAACTCTTTCAACGATGACCATTGTTACCGCGTAACGACGAACGAACTATTGTAATTCTATTGTAATTATTACCACGAATGTATCTACGCCGCGTACTCTGCTTGTACGCACTAATCTACCATATTAGCATTTATCGAATGCAGAACATTCGAGACGGGCGGCATGTTCCGGATTCAAGCAGTAATTCTCTGTTCTCAAGCGTTATGTATTTGCAAAGAGAAAGCTATCGAGACAGTGGAATGTCGTTAGTCTCCCAAATAAACCTCGCGATCAAAACAGTTTCGACCATGAGATGTTTCGCAGTCAAACTCGCCGTTATTGGTAAGCGCTCTTATGTTATTTCGAATTTGTCCGCCAATTCGGAGAGAGCCGGTGTCTATTCTCCGAAAAGAGGGGATTCCTCTTCGTACGGATTCCGCGCCACGACACGGGATCTCTGGTCAGAACACGAGTAGTTGGCTTGAAGATAGAACGTGTTACCCGGTCTCGGTGACCGCTTTATACTGTACGATCAACGTCGTTCGATGTACCGTCACTCAATAAATAATTGAAGGTGCACGAATACTCAACGGACTTTTAAACTCCTGTCACGGCGAGCCTTCTGATAAGGCTGTATCAGCCTCCGTGGAAGAGTCGCGTTTTCGCCGTGCCAACGGCGGAAAACTTACGAGCGACGAATTCACACAATTATAGTTACAAGGCTATGGTCAAAATTTCCTCCTTCTTTGCAGCTGCAAGCAGCAACTTTTAATTAATAAATTTAATATTGTCATGCTATAAGTTTCTTTGATACAGAAAAACAACCTTTTTTACTTTGAAAGCATATTATATTAAATAACGTTTGTATACACATATTATCTTGAATATATTATAAACGTGCAATTCTCACAACTATCATATATGAATCACATTGAAAGTTACAACTAAAAAGGACAGCGTTTGCGATTTTACATATAGGAAGATAATTTAACATAAAGAAGGATGTAATATATATCCAAAACTATAATATCTACGCTTGCTGCTCCATTTCCCTAGCCTTTTTGTTTTCACGTACGAGCCTCTGTCCACCCTGGCGAAACCATTCTTTGGTTACTCCTCCAATTCTTTCGAAGTGAATGAATGATTAGCAGTAATTGTCACTGAAACATACATTACGACGGTATGACTTTAAAAAGTACGTATGAAAATTGATATGTTCAAATATTAACATATACATGTACATACTCGTATATTTTACCTTGTATGGCCGTTATAATCGTTTTTTGGCCACTGATATTAAAATGATCGCGTAGGCCTTTCCATGACGAGTGTTTAGCAACGTTATTGCTAAAGACTAATCGGTATAATCGAATCAAATTTTCTTTCCCGCAGCTTCCGCCTACGCGAGATAGACAGTGCAGCTAAACAAACGTAACAAGATTTTATATACAGGGTGTCTGATGCAAAAGTAGCCAACTTGAAAATAGTGGTAGATTGGGTTAAACTAAGGAGAAATATCATGTACCGCGGTACAAAGTAACAATAGTTATCGAGGAATTAATTTACACGTTTGAGCGAATGAGGATGCAGGAGACGGTAGGCCGGTTT